ACATGCTCATCCTCATCTCATGATTTCTAGCTTTGGTATGAAGAATGGGGTTGGTTGAAGAACGGGGTTAATTGAAGAATGGGGCTGATTGAAGAATGGGGTTGTAAATAAGTAACTTCAAGGACATTACGCTTTGTTAGCAACTACAGAGATAAGGAAATGGATCAGATAAGCAAGAACTGGCCAGAACTGACATGACAAGCATCCTAAAACGAAGTGGTGAAGAGGAAGATAATAACCACCAGGGGTCCCAAAGCCCACTACCACATTTTAGTGCCCATGTGGGAGGAACTCTTTAGAAGTATGATGTAATGTATAAGTAACTCAATGACTATGTATGTAATCTAATTAATATGTATGTTTAAGGACAATATAATCACAGCCTGGTTGATGCTCAGAGGAAACACACTAGAAAGAGCTATCCCCCGTGTCTCCTAGCACCACAGTAAAGAATACCTGCTTGTCAACTTAAACTTTGTTGGCAGGTTCCTGGAGATTTCTCTGAAACAGGTAGCATGGATGAATTTCAAGTTGCCATCCATGGGATGAACCACTGCATTTTGTGCAGCTGCCTCATTGTAAAGGCAAGGAACTTCTTGTTTTAGTGGAGAAATCTGCAGTGGTTTAGGATGTTCAATGGGATGAAGGCTGCAAAAGAAGGAAGGCTAATCAAGCTATCAGTCAAAAGAAGGAAGGCGCCTCCAGTGCCACCATTCTACACTGGTAGTGGCTCTTGTCTCACGTCCTCCAGTGAAGGTTACAAGACAGGTTAGTGCAAACCCAGAGTCTGCAAGCCCTCCCCAGGATGCTGCTATCACAAAGGGCTGGCATGATAAGGTGTTGCTCAGGAACCAGAGAAGGTGAGTTCTTGCAAGCTGAACATCTTCAATGCTAGCCTGGCTGTTTCCTCTAAGGCAGAACAGGAGCAAAACACCCACCCAGGTCCTCATGCTTGGCTCTCCCAGAGCCCAGCACAGGCTCTCTTTTCCTCTTTGTAGGCATCACTGCTCCCCAGGAGCAGGGAATCAAATTGCCTCATTGTGGTTTTAGAGCTGCTAATTGCCTCACCGAAAGGCTGCTCCAGCCCTGAGGACATGCCCGGGAGATAGCCTCTGGGTGCAGCAGCCTGAATCCACAGCACCACTCTGAGCTATGAGCAGGGAATTTTCTTCACCAATTTCACCTCTCTGTGCACAAATCAGTTGTGGACATGGTCATTTGTGAGGGATGCTAAGGAAGAAGTCATGCAAACCCTCCTAGAAGCATCAAGCTTGCAGCAGCTCACAGGGTGAAAGGAGAGCAGAAAGGTGCAGTTGGGATCACGTCCCAGTTCCCCCCAGGCTGGGAACAGACCAAGTGCCAAGGCCTCAGCCTGCCATCGGGAAAGCTAGAGAGGTGTTCCCAACACAGAAAGCTCCTGACCCAGCTGGTGAAAAGACTTTTTAGCCTCGAGAGCTGCTTGGAGCAGAAGCCAGGGAAAGCGAGCTCCTTGAAAAGCCAAGCCACAAGTCTTAATCTAAGCAGGCAGGTACTTAGCGCTTTGTTTGCAGGTGATCTTGAACTAGACCGGGAGTAAAGAGCCTCAAGCAGGGCTGCTGAAGCCCCATCTTCGGGGCACAAGCTGTTAAAGCGGAGTATCAGCTTTAACAATGGAGATTTCAGCCTTTATGCCTATTGTGAAGAGAAAAAAAAACAATTGACTCTCTAAACACCCTGAAGAAAAGCCTAAAGTTCATCTCTAGCTCCCTCTTGTGACTCCTGTATGCAAGCTGCTTTAAACTAGTCTTGGATAAAGCGGTAATCCTACTGTCACTATGGGAATGACTCAAACAAAACGTGTCTAAATGCTTAAACGGTCACTGGCATGCCGCACATGATCCAGTTTGTCTGGTTTCTATGCCAGCCAACCTTGGAGAAACTCTGAATCAATAGGTGAAATCATGCTGCCTTTTACATGCGAAGTCTGTATCACACAAAAACCCACTTGCATTCTGGTTTTCTATGCACACTTGCATTCCATCTGGCTCTGTCTTTTCAGGATGTTAAATCACTGCTGCCCCAGGGAAGGTATCCCAAAGGAACCTTAATGTGTAGCCTACGTTTTATTTGCCCTTTATTTGCTTTCTCCAAGTTGTATGTGGTCATGTACCCTGTGACTCTGAGCTGGTTTATGTATTTCTCTATTTTATAATGTCCCTCTATCATACATTCAAAAGCAATATCCCAACCACTAAGATGTCTCTATGCTTGTATTATTTATTCTTCTCACCTTTGCACCCAAACTTGCTTATACTTGCATGTCCTTCCCCAGACAGTCCTAGTTAACCAGATTAGTTTTCAAGTGAAAGTACCAAATTCCTCACAGTACAAAGCAAAACACTTGACCAGACATAGACACAATACAGTTCCCCTGCTCTTCAGGACATGCACTTCAACACAGCTACATACATACTTCTTCCCTCTTTTTCTCCACTGAATATCTAATGAGAAGTTGATGGTGGCTTTTGGGTGGAAAGGACACATGGCTGTCACTTCTCTCTATGTGCTTCCCTGCAAGCAGACCTCTGCTCCCTGTACTCATAAGCTACTTGCAGCCTAGGAAGCTGGAGAAAAACATCTCTGCATGGCAAACCATAGCTCAGACTGTTTCTCTGTATCTTGCTGCCCCAAAAGCTCCCCTGTACCCAGATGGATAAGCAATTCTGTTGGCTAAGCTCATCACAAGCCCTGGATCTGTAGGACTGATTTCCTTCCATGCCAATGCCCATTGTCTTCTTGCCATTATTCTGGCATTTGCATGAGGCAGAAATAACCTCAGAACAGTTTCTAGCTTCCTCTCTCCTCCCCTGTAGGGGTATTGCTAAATCATATTATTCTTGCTGTTATGGTGGGAAAATATCCACTTCAGTACAACCATTAACCATAATTAGTGCTCAGTTACACAGACAATCAGGAATGGGGGGATCTGATCTTCTGCTACCAGTCAATAAATCTCTCCAAGTACGCCAGGAGCAGACAGCAAAGTGAGCAATCACTCATTTCTGCTCCTGTAACTACTTTTAAATGCCCCAGCAAATAAGCTCACAAAGAATATTTTCCACATTTTTCTGTACCATTGGTCTCTTTTTACAGCCACTGTCTCCTGCCTTTAGATTTCCCTGAAACAGCAGCCTGAGAGACTGAAAGCCAGATACTTGGGAAGCACCTAACAGATGCAGCCCTAAGATGTTTGGGTATCTGGGGCAGAAAAGCCCCCAGTCTCTTAGCAGGCTGCTCCTGGCCCAAGCCTGGACTGATGGGTGTATGTAACAACATGACTGTGACTCAGTTTGTGCTGTAACTCACTGGGCTGCTGCAGCATCTTCTCAAGACTTCTTCCTTCCTAGCAGAACCTTTGTAAGGCTGCAGACTCTAAAATCTCTGTCTCCTCAGTAGCTGGCCAAATAAATAAATAAATAAAACAAATCACCAAAACCCAAACCAAAGCAAAACAAAAAAAAATCCAACCCCTTCCCTCCCCCCCCCCAAAAAAAAAACAAAGCAAACATAAAACAAACAACCAAAACTAAACCAAACCAAAACAAAACACAAAACCCTTCTAAAGCCTCTCATGACATTACAAGACATTGCTCGTACTGCTAATACTGCCACAAAGACTGCTGCTCCCAGCTCTTTATGCAACACCATGCAGGTTGGCTGTATGACAGCATTACCTGCTGCTGCAGGTGAAGGGCCTGTACTCTGCAGGGATTTTAAGGATCTGATGGACGATGCTCCCTCTAGGGTTGAGTTCATCTGTGTTAGCATATCAATTAACTTACCTGTTGAGTTTTCAGACCTGCTTCTGGACCCTGGTGCCCTCCATAAGTGGTGCAGAAGTTGCTCTTCATAGTTCGCTCTTCCCACATTGCCTGGACTGTGTATGGGAACAGCAAGGTCTGCTGGTTGCTTTCCAGGTTAGCACAGGCCTTTGCTAGGTCTGAAAGCATTCAGGTTCAGCCAGTACAGCACTGGAGCACATATCCAGCCCTAGCAGGGGGGTTCACAGTGCCATCCAGCCTGAATTTACCCAGAATTCCAGCTCATTTCCCCTGGCTTGGGGAGGCATCCTATTCCCCAGGAAGAAAAAAAACAAACTCAGTAGGAAGGGTGTCAAAACACAGCCTTCCCTACTTAAAATCTAGTAGAGACAAATGTTAGGAAAATAGTCAGGAAAGGGACGTTTTCACCTGAACTTTCAAATGGAGCTTCTGGACCCCTGGCAGTGGATGTGTGTCTGTGGGTGTGTGCAGGGAGTTCCAGGTGAGGCTGCCTGGAATGGTTAAAGCCCATTAGTGCCCTCAGGCCCTGGATACTCAGACTGATGAGGTCAGTTCCTCCCTTAGGTTTAATCATGGTGTCGGTTAAAGAGCGGGTGAGAAGCATTTCAGTGAACTAAATTCAGCTGCTGTCCAAAATAGCCCAGATGCAGCAAGAGATGCTTTTGGCAGAAAGGGTTAAGAGCCCCAGACTCTTTCAAGTGTGGATGCAGCCACCTTTCTATCCCAGCTCCAGTGATCCAGAGCATATCCAGGGTTCCCGGTGCCTCCAGAGCTGTGGGCCCCAGCCTATGGGTAACAGGGCAGTTCTGCTCCCAAACCCCTCCATTCCCCCAGGCCGGCACCAAACACGGGTAGGTGGAAAGCACAGGGAGCATACACCCGTTTTTCCCTCCCTCCTTCCTCTACCCGCAGGCACCAAGCACTCGTCTACCCCGGGTACAGCTCCTCCAGCAGCCCCTGTAACCAGACTCGCACTGGTCCATCAGCACCCGCCACAACCCACGGGGAAAGACTGGATGGTACCTAACTCGACCGGGACTGCTCTTCAATCCGCCCCGTGCGCCGGCGCTGAGCTCCTCGGGAACCGAGCGGGCACTGGAGGCGCAGCGGCAGCCGCGGACGTTCAGCTCCCTCTGCAGGCTCCGCCACCGCCATAGCCGAGGTCTCGAAATAAGCTGCCCACGGTTCCCCACGGAGCTGCAGCACCCGGGCTTGTGCCGAGGCGGGATGAGCCGCCGCCCCGCTGCTACACTACTTGCGCACCTGAACCCATCACCATGTAAACCTGGGGATAACCCCACGTCCTTCTGCGTGACAGCATCATCCATTCCCATCATCCTCACAGAACCAGAGGAGTGAAAGCGCTAAGATTTAAATCCCTGTTGAAGCATAACAGTGCTCTTTATAATTACCTGCCGGTGCTGCAGTGACAGAGTTCTGCTTTGCCTTTGCTGCTGTAAGCAGTCTGTGCAAAAGCTCACAGTCCTGGCTTGGAGTCCACCTTGTGTGCGAACCCCAGGCTTGGGTAATGCCCTATCAGCCACTTGCTCTTACCTGCTCCTCTCTTGCCACCTGGGCCTTTAAATAGCAACCCACTTATTGGTTTTTGCAAGCATTGCTCAGGCTTGTGTACCTGAGATGCAGCACTGACAGCTGCTCTGCTGCACATCACCTGCCCTCCACCGAGAAAAATCCCCCTCCTAAAGGTCAGGTCCTCACCTCTGAAAGACGATGGTGGCCCTGGCCAGTGGCTCATCGCTCCCTCTTTGTAATACGACCATGCAGGTTTGTAAAAACACCCTAAGTGGAGGTCCTTGTATGGCAGCTCCATCCTACCCCAGAAAAAAACACCATGTTATCAGCTCAAACTGCCTGTAAAGTCCTGAGTTTTCACTCCAGAGCAGGTTGCTCTTTCCTTTGCATCAGGTTATGGTTTTGCAGCCCTGGTCAGCTATTGACTGCATTGCCAGCCTCAGCCTTTCACAGAAGACATTCGTGTGCATCAGCAAGGACTGCCACAGTACCTGTCACCTGGGGGTGAAAAAGGGACGGCACTTCTCTGCCAGCCCTCATCCCTGGGGCTGCTCGGATGTACCCCAGCTCCAAGGTGGGGGAAGAAATCTCAGAGAGATGTTTCTAGGGTAATTAAAGTTAATTAGCTCAAATTATGACTCTGAAGGGAAATGTTTCTTATTTCAGGCTCCCGCCAACTTGGGCCCAAGCCTGGTTTTCATAAGGGCCAGTAACTGCAAACAGATAGGGCCCTTTCATTGGAAACAGGCAGCACAGGATATAATTAAAGAAGTATGCACTGGCATCACAAAGAACCGTTTTCAATTACTGCTATTTCAAGAGGATTAAGGGGAAATATTTTAAACAAGACCACTGCAAAAATAGATTTCGTTTGTCATTAGCTTTGAAATAATATTTGACTTACAGGCTGAAATTTCCATATGTTAGGTCTGCCTCTGGTGGCACTTTCCGTAAGGGCTGGGAAAAGGGTGGGTGATTCATAACAGCATGGGAGCTGGGCACAGAGCTCCCAATGTATGGCCCTACTTCCATATGGGAAATACCCTCCTTTCTCCCTGACCAGTATCCTCTGACTGTTGTGATTTGTTGCTGTGTTTCTGCACAGCATGAATCTGTAGGTGTGAATTGGGCCACTTTGTTCTGCTAGTGGCCACAGAGATGGCCTGGAAGATGCTGTTTTGCCATAGTTAACGCAGTAGCAAAAAGATGCTACCTTCAGCCTCCCTGTATCTGCTGTCTCTCCTGGCTCAGGCTGTACCTTCAGAAAGAGAATGAAACTGGAGCTAATCACAGGAGGGGAGCAGCATCTGTGACCCTTTATTGGGCTGCATGTGTAGAGCTTCTGCACAAGACTAGAAATGGAACCAGAAAGGATAAGATAGGTTTGCTCTACTTTCCTCCTCGGCTTTCCCATCATGTAGACAGGACACATTCCTGGGGTGTGCAAAACCTATGGTAACGCGGGGCAGAAGTGGGCAGCAGTCACACTGCAAGCACTGTCATGTTCCAAGTAGGATGTGAACCATTTCACCCAACCACACACATCTCTGTGCCAGCATTTTTTGAACACCCTCTAAGATATGTATCATAGGACAGACAATCAGAAGTTGATTACTATCCATATGAAAGGATCCCAGACCCATACCTCCAGGTTCAACACCTAGTTATCAGGCAACTCAAGTTCAGTGAGGGTCTCCAAGCTTTATCTGGCATGTGCACTTTCATCCTCCCTCTGCAGGGCTTGACTTCCCAGAGGAAAGGGCTGATTCTCACAGCACCTGGGACAGCTGGGCTCCTGGCTGCTCAGGGACTCCTGAAGGCATGTTTGAAGCCAACAGCATGGGAAGGGCCTGGCCACAGAGCGGTGAAAAGGGCTCTCCACTGACATTTGCCCAGAGAGTTTACGAGGCTCAAGCAACAGAAACACTGGTCCTAGCAGGATCATGAGAAATAATTTCTCTGAGCTATTTACAGCAACCAAGAACATATTTTTCTTTTCAGAAGCACCACAAGGAGGATGTTTCTCATGGCTATTGAGAAAGAGGGGTCCACCTTGGGGAATAGCATGGGTTGGGGTACGTAAGCTTGGGGCAGCAAGGCAACGCATCAAAGAGAGCCAAGGACACAAAAAATGGAGTTTGGCCACTTCCATGTCAGAGTGCAGGGCTGTTGGCACCAGCTCAGGCTCTTGCACATGGAAGGAGTGTCAACAGGCTGCAGAAACATTTAACGAGCAGAGGCACCAGAAGATGGCTCCTCTCCATGTGCATGAGCAAGAGGCATTTCCAAATACGTAGCTGTTGGGTCCAGGGTACACATGACAGCTTCCCTATCACATAAAGCAACTGATGGACAATGAAAAGGCTGTAAGCGGTGGGCTTCCTGCTATGACAATGGTGCTTAATAACAGGGTACCCAAACTGATTCACATCTCCCAAGCTATGGGCTTCAGGTGGTGCAAGAGGCTCAGAGGGCTTCATCTCAGCCACAAAGCTTCCAAACACACCACAAGAACTGGTGGAAGAGAGAAAATAGCGTACTGAACCAGACTGGGTCAAATAGGTCTAGAGCCGTGGAGATTTCACACTGTTAGCAGCTCCCAGCCCAGGAAGCAGGTACCAGGAGAGGCACTTTGTGCTGTGAGCTTAGAGTGAAATTAGAGCTACAAAGACCTGCAAGAATAATGTCACCCAGAAGACAGAAAGCAGGGAGAGGAGAGCATATGTAGGAGGCAGTATGTCTGCAAAGATGGGGAAAGAAAATGGATAATTCAAGGAAAAATCAGCATGAGCAGAAGGCTGAAGAAATGCTTCCTTTCCACATGCAGTATTCCAGTGTCTGTAAAATCCAAATGTATTTCATCATTAGAGCAATTAATTCTCCTGTGGGTAATCCAGCATCTTCTAATGTAACCACTTCCAGTGATTTTAGGTCATCCCTGTGCCCATGCTGACAGGCAGCATAGCTGAAAGACACGGCAGGATGGCAGCTGGCACCCTTCTACACAAACCTCACCCCTGCACCTCATACGCTACTGGGTGCCATCCCACCCCATCAGTCCTTCCTGATCACTGGTTTCCAGCAAGGCAGTAAGTCTCAGACTGTGGTTTCCACTTCTGCTGCCTCCTCCCAAGCATGCAGGGGCATGGCCTCATCCTTGTCCCCATTTCCCCATCTCTATCCCTGTCCCATCTCCGTCCTCTACACATTCCCCATGTCCTCTCCAAAGAGCTGTTGTTTGACCTTTCTCCTCCCAGCTCTCCCATGCATCTCTAGCCATTCCCACTGCCCCTGTCTGGTCTTTCACCATCCTTCTTGGGGTGAGTCAGAGCTGGGGCTACAGCACCAGCCTTGAGAGCTGCAGGTCCATGCATAGGCATTGGCCCATGATCCTGCTTCAGATCCCAAGGGGTCACGTGCTAGCAGGGGAGGGAAGGACACAGCTGGACAGATGTGTTGTTCTTCCTCACTCCTGCCTACCTTCCTTCACTCTTGTACCACGGCTCCTCCAATCCCTCTGAATCACAGCAAGGCATCGATTGGCTGATTGATGTGTTCTGTACTACAGCTGGCATGGGCTGAGTCAGTCCTGGTGCTTGCCAACCATTTATAAGACAAAAAAACATCACCATGATCCCCGCTGGCACTGATTCCTCCTGCTGTGGGGATGGGTGGCCTCTCTCAAGACTCCTATGAGCCCTCCAGGAAATATCCTGGGGAGAGCAAAATTGGATGTCAAAGAGCAGAAGTATTTCAGCTCCAGCTGAGCTCTGGCAGGTCCCCAAATCTGAGAAGGAGAAAAGTGTTATGAAAACACTCATCAGAAGGCAGTGAGAAATTAGATGTAGGTCACTTGAACTCCAGCCCTGAGGAAAGGGGTCAAGCCCACAGAGTAAAGCCCAGCTGGATGAGAGGAAGCCAGAAGAGTTTTTTGGAGAAGGAACTGCTTGGTTTGTTAATTTGATGACATTCCCTAGGCTGGGTTTTCGTCCACTTGGGATTACAGGTCTGGACCCAAGTACTCACTCTTGCTTGGTGGGGGCAGCAGTGCCTTTCCTGCCAACACCACGAAGCAGCTCAAGCCCGTGTGTAGCGCTTAGATTTTGGTCACGGGCCACCCAGCTGGCAGCACTGTCAGGTGATTTTACTAGACAAAGCACAAGAGCTACTTGCCTATAGGATACAAACAGGTTGATCATTAACAACATGGTCCAGCCCAAGAGACAGTACATCTGGTCGTACTGCAAGTGGCAGTATGATGTGAATTGCCATTTAACACAGATTTTTGGGATCAAGGAGTGGTTTTCTGACTGCTATTTGGCACCTTTTGCAGAGGCCAAACTTCTGCTTTCAAAAGCAATTGATTTTCAATTGGGACTTTTTTTCCCAAGAGAAACTTCCGTTTGAAAACAGCCTTCTAAAGCTCTTGGGACACTTGCAAGATACTTTGCTTTTATATTACAATCTTTAAAGAGCCTTTAAAGAAGGATGGGGGACAACGGATAGGACCTCATGAACAAATTAAGTTATCAGCAGTCTTTGGGGGATTTTATGTGGAAAAATTCCTTTTCCACTTTCAAGCATTTAGAGTGGCTACATGCACCAACGGAGCTCACAAAATGTTTCAATTACCTGGTCCTGCATATTTTGAACATGCTACTGAGCAGATTAACTGATGGGTTGACCTCCTGTGCTCCTCCAATAACACTGTAAATGTTTTTAGGGAGAAGCAGAGCATCTCTGGAGATGAAAGAGAAGTATTTATTGGTTTTGATGACTTGCATGTGTGAGTACTCACTTTGAAATCATTGCTTCTTGGGGATGGGATAGGTTGAATCCTAATAGGATGTTGATTTCTACCTTGAGACATCCTGAGTGGATGTTTGGACCAGTCCTGAATCTTCCCCTGGGGATTCCCCAAAGACAGCATCTCCTCATGAGGCTGCTCTATTCAGGTCCATGCACAGCTGATCAGCAGGTGAGTTTATTCTCCCTCTGCTTCCAGCTCCAGCTTACACTAGAAAAATCAGCATGCTTGCAATAGCTACTTCTTGGGAGATTTATAGCTTGGCTCAGCAGCTGTACACTGTTCAGAGTTTACATAAATGCTGGGCACAGTCCCAGCACTGGGTGCCGATTCAGGCGCCCACCCATGAGATGCACCAATGTTACCGGTTCCAAAAGGCCTCTCGGAGCAACTGTGCTAACATTTCACACTGTCACAGACTGTAACAGTCAGTGGAGTAGCCAAATCACAGGGCTTCACGTCCTGGAGAGAAAGGGCTTTAAATTTCCCCCTCCCCATCCCCTGACCTCAAGCAAACAACTTAAAAATAGGTTGCTCCATTTGGCAACAGGTTTGTTTCCTATTCCTGCAGGGAGATCTCTCTGGATAGTTGGACAAAGAGGCTCCATGGTCCCAGCTCAGTTCCCAGTGCCTGCAGATGGATTTGCTCCTGGGAACCCCTGCCACAGCCGGCAAGAACCCCAACCAGGCACCACCAGCCCTTAGGACACTGTCACAGGCCTTTGATGGTGGCTCAAGAAGCTGATGCATTATAACAGTCTCACCTCTGCTTCTGGGGGAAAATAATCTCCACTGCAAGAAAAAGCAAATTGTGAGAAGGAAGAGACACTCCCAGGTCAAGGGAGAAGGGCACTCTTGCTGCAGCTGCTGGAGAAGAGGGTAACAGAACACGATGCCGCAAGCCCTCCTCATTACAGAGATGCCCCCTGTAACTCTATGGGCAGATTCATACCTTGCAGCCTGCATGCTGCTGTTACAGACTCTGCTCCAGCTCAAGACAGGGATTTGTTTGCAGCCCAGGATGCTAAAATGTGGCATTAAAAGGCTTTTTTTTCTGTCCCACTCCCCCTTTCTTTTTCCTACCCAAGTTGTCAAAAATCTCCATTATTTGTTACTTTGCCATAACAACATATGGTATTTCATTCTGTATCTCACTAGTTTTCAGAGCTACCCACTTCTGAAGAGTGCTCCTCCTCACCTGGGCATGTGTATTTCTCCTTCCCTCCTGGGAAGCCCTTCTCTCTTTCCAGAGAAGTGGAAGCTGCAAATGCCACAGCACCATGTGGCTGCGGCAGAAAAATGGTCCTTTCTGCAGCAATTAGGCTCCTGCTCCAGCTCCTCACCCTGAATCTGAACAGACCCTCCACAATATCTATTCCTCCTGGCTATATCTCCATTCCTGGAAATTACACGCACAGCCAAAAGCCATAGACCTGTTTATGACTTGTTGTACAGATGTGATAAATGGCTGCTCAGAAAACATTTCATCTGTGCTGCTCCTCATGTGCTTCTTGGTGCATTTTAATAAACTTATGTTTGGCAATAGTTAAGTAACTGTCTTGACTTGTTTAACTCGATAGCCACAGATATTTTACTAAGTTGATGCAGGATTTATGTCTCAATAGTGCAATAATGTAGTAAGCATTGTGGTTTTGGGTAAATTTATGTCCCATCAGCAGTCCAAGAGGGATTTATAGGGCCTGTCAGAGGTAGAGTTACAGAGGGTGCCATCTGAGAGACACCAAGAGTGCTGTGTCTTACTGCTTGAGGGCAATTCCTTGGAGAGAAGTCCTGGAGCTTTGTAGACTGCTGACACATTGTCTTGCTAATGTTTTCCATTAATAAAACTAAACAGCTAAGGGAGCTGCCTGGTGATGGAAAGCATTTTTGTAAAGTGTTTCCCTTGTTCCAGCTCTGTAACAGGTAAGGAAGGATGGTGAGGAATCTGCTGTAACCCAGCCCCAGGAGAGAGGCCATCTCCCTCACCTAGTATGTTTCTCTCTGAGAAGATGGCAGTGGTGACTGTGCTGCCACCCTTCAAAGGGTTACAACCACCCATCATTGAGAGCCTGGGGGCAGCAGCAGGAGTCCTCCAGCAGGGGCAAAGTCCAGGAGGCAGCAGAGGGGCTACAGGACACTCAATTCCAAAAAATGGAGAAGGACCATGCCTCCCAGTCGCACTCCAAACCAAACATTTCACAACACTGCCATTTAAGTGCAAACCATCAGAGTTGGGAACAAGCTGCATTATAAACAACTATAAATTTGGTGTTGGAGGTGGCTTTTCAGAGCAGTCATGGCACAACAAATCCCCCATGTCTTCTTTCCTAGAAGATGCTGGCTAGGAAAAGAAATCCTCATCACCAGCAAGTTCAGGAGATCTTTCTCTCTGCTGGGACAGCCTATTTAAGGTTTTTATTTTTTGCCTGCAAGAGGTTTGAATGGTATCTTTGCAATTTCCCTGCCAGAAATCAAGCCAAAGAGATTCTTGAAAGCATAAAGGGGTGTGTGTGGGGTGGTGGTGGTGGTGATGGTGGTGGAAATTCCTTTGTTTAGAAGAGCTGGCAAAGTCTGCATAAACTCAAATTGTGTCAGACCTATGAGAGGCTCAATTGCAGGACATGAGCTCTGGAGGATTGCTTTTCTTTAAGTACCAACAGCCAACATACTTCCCAAGACAAATTTCTTTGGGTTGAAGTTGTTCCCTCCTGGGTCTCAGCCTAGACATACGTCATGAGCAAGATTGACATAATTAAAATAACTATAACAGAGTGATTGATTTTGAAAGCAGCAGGTGCCAGAGGGAGAAACAAGGCTCCAGGGCAGAGTGTTGGAGCTGCTGAGCTGAAGGACCACAAGGCTGGGAGCTGCACGATCTTTGCTTTCCAGCTGTCATGGTCACAGAATAAAATGTATCAGGTTTGATGCAAATTAAACTAGCTTTAGATGTTGTTTTACTCCTGGAATTTATTATGAGTTTGTGTTATATTAGGAGTATTATATCGCCAGTTTTTACTTCTGCAAAAAATGGCATTGATTTTCCTGTAACAGAGCAGCACCATGACTTGCTCAGCCTCATCAAGAGGAGACCAGGACATGCTTTAGCTACTCTGTTCAGCAGCCATTTGGCTTGAGCACAGCATTTACTAATTGCAGAACTGTGTAGATACCTAGACACCCTTCAACCAGAGCTCAGCTGGGAGGACAGAAACCTGTTGTGTGGTTGGATACATCCATACAACACCGGACGAATACATCTCATCCTGAGAGGCTGAGAGATGGAGCAGAGCAATTTACACCTCCTAGGAATGATTTAAAAAAAAGTGAAAAGGTATAAAAAAAAGCTAAAAATCTCCTTCCTTGCTGGCCAGTTTTTGATCAATTGCTCCAAACAGGCTCTGGCATCAGAAGGAGCTGGCAGTCCACAGGTTAGCAAGCCAGCACACCATGCCCTGAAACCCATCTCCTTCCAGCTCATCATAACATGAGAATTGCCATTATACACCAAGAGTACGTTTCCCTGTTACTCATTCATAACAAGATGTGGACAACCATGCTGTCATCCTGGCCAGCACACTGACATCTTCAAACTTTGTTTTCTTAATGACCCATACCTTGAAGATATCCCAAGAAAAACATGCATAGGCAGAGTCACAGAGTGTCAAATAAACCATGAGAGCTAGAACTCACTGAAATAGTGACATTTGAGTACATAGGAGTTTTGGAGGGGGGGTTTACATTTTCAGTCTTCTTTTGAAAGATTTTGGACTTGGTTGTTCAATGTAATTTTTGGCCAGGAAAAACATTTTCTTTTTTTTTCTTTTCTAAACAATTCCCTCCAACTCTGCTTGTTTTGTTGGTTTCTGTTTGGTTTTGTGTTGTTTTTTTTTGGTTTTTTTTTTTTACTAGGTGAGATGAACAAAGTGACATAGAGAGAGAGAAGCTTTTTCAGCCACATTAACACAAACACACACTTCCTCCCTTCCAGAAAATGAACATTTGGGATGAAAGACCCCGTTGCACAAGCTGGAGGCAGGGATAGAAGGGCTTATCCCAGCTCTCTCCAATAGAACCCCCCAGCCCTTGCATGGTCCCAGCCTCAACACACACCAGACCCTCGCTCCAGGCTCTGTTCACATTCATCCCATCCCTCTGCAGACCTACCTCCTTTCCATCCCTTCCTCTTCTTCCTTTTGCTGCCCCGATGGAGCTGTACTACCTGTTAGTGTTTCATGAAGAAAAGGGCATGTAAAGTGGCCGGATGGGAGAGCAGAGCCCAGACCATCAGAAGGCAAGCACAGGCATATCAGTGCTGTGAGGTCTCAGGTGGAGGCAACATACACCTCTGTTTGCAGGTCCACATCCAAACCAGCCTCCATGTAGCATGGCATGCCTGCACTCCACTGTAAATGCACTGCTGAGGGATGCTCACACTGGTTCATGTCCTCGATCAAGGTCCTGCTACAGGATGAGAGCCTGCAGGAGAGAAGATATGTAAACCAACCAGATCAAATCTCATCACTGCTGTCCTGACTCTTAACACCTACAGCTGCAACTCTGTGTGTGGCGTAAGCAAACATTAGTTGCATGTGTGCAGCACATGCAATGCACATTTTCCAAGCACATTTTTGGCACAGGCATCTTCCCACTGCCATTCAGCATGTGCTTTTCCCTGTTGGTTTCAATAAAGCAAATGCATGCAAGAAAATTAACTTGAGGTTACACACATGCAGCAATGCCATCTCCTCAAAGCTATTGAATGGGACCCACCTTTGCCTGCACAGCTTCCTCAGGCTGTGTGCAGAGGGCATGCACATGTGTGGCCACATTTGTGCTTATACCCTCTCTGTGCTACCTCAGTCTCCTATGTTGGGACATCAAGCGCTGAAGCCTGACCACAGTGTAAAGGCACTGCCAAGGCTTCCATCCAGCGGAAGGAGAGCAAATGTCCTGGCACCATTAATGGCCTATGATGTGGTTTTTTAATTAGGAAAATAACACTTTGACTTTTCTATTCTAATCCTGTCCCATTCTCGGTAATGGCTCTTATTGGAATAAACAGCATCCTAGCCCAGCCTCGAAGGCTAATGACTGTTGATGGGAAATATTTTGTTTCATAACAGCGGCGGCAGCCAGCAGGGCACATGAGAACATTTTTTCAGGAACATGGAAGAAACTATTTTTAACTGTTCTGCCCCATATTTATGGTGTTTGAAGGGAAGATGCACCAGTTTAAATATGTTGCAGCAGTATCCACCACTTAACTCTATCTGTGCCATGGAAAGAAGGTGTGCAGAAGTCTCAGTCTGGTGGCTAGGCAGTGGGATCACCATGCTTATTGCAGGCTGGTTTCCTCACTGTCAATCCATCTACACCATGACTATCAATCACTATCAGGACATGACATGGTGCTCTGTTCACTGACACACAGCACCAAAATGCAACTTTTGGTGCTGGCTGGGGGCCAGCAGCAGGATAAGAGCAAGGCCAGGTTGTGCTGAGCACTGCAGAAATCCAGAGCAGGATATGAGAGCCTGGGCAGAGCAAGAAATGGCCAGCAAGGACAATCATCAGGTAGGTGCAAGTTGCGCAGGTGTCACCCAATGCATTCCCAACTTTGCTGGCATCCTTCTGCCCCTCCTCAAGCAGGAAGCAGACCCTATGCCTACTGTCTTTCCCACCCAGCCTCCTTTGGGTTTACAAAGCCCCATTCAGCATCATGGCCTTCATTCCTTACTACATCACAGACCCACCAAAAAATGGAGTTGCTGAGGCTGGAGAACATCCAGTGTGAGGCTCCAGGTAGGTCTAAGAGCTCCCAAATGGGACATGAGTGATGTTGCAAACCCGACAGCATTAATGCAGACAGAAGTGGCATTTAAGAGCCTAGTCAGTTGAAATCATATTCCTTGTGTCCAACAAAAATACGTTCTTAACAGTCAATGGAGCTAAATGGAGTCAACCCAGACTTATGATTTCCTTTCAGCAGATGCTTCATCTTTG